AGCAATTTGAACTATGCATTGATCGAAAAACGACCAGAATGGGCCAGAAGACACGGCAAGGTAATTTTGCTCCATGACAATGCACCTGCACACAAAGCAAAACTGGTTCAGGATACGATCAAAGCACTCGGCTGGGAGCTGCTACCCCACCCGCCGTATTCACCAGACTTGGCTCCTTCCGACTACCATTTGTTTTCATCGATGGGACACGCATTGGCTGAGCAGCACTTCGATTCCTACGAGGAAGTCGAAAATTGGGTGACTAATTGGTTTGCTTCAAAAGACACAGTTTTATTGGCGTGGAATCCACAAATTGCCTGAAAGATGGGAAAAATGTGTAACTAGCAATGGCCAATACTTTGAATAAAATGTTTTTTACTTTCCCACTAAAAAATAGTGTTTTGATTTCACAAAAAAACGCTCATTTCATACCGGTACACCAAGTATATAATTTTAAAGAGATGTAACTCTATAGGGTCATTTCATGAGAATCTTGCTCATAAAATTCAATTGAATTTTGATATTAGTGATGCCATGTTGACTGAATTAAAATATTGTCTTAATCAGACAATTATTGTGAAGATCGAATTCATTTTTATTCAGTTACAAGTTAATGCATGTATCCATTTATGTTATTGTAAAAAAGTTCTTTTCAATTGTGGCTATGTCCGTTCCGACTAAACATTTGTTTTCTAAAGTAGATATTGTACCTGAATTCCGAAACAAAACGTATTCAATGTATGTTGTATTTAAACTCATTATTTGTGGATTCATTATATATGGGAAATAAACACATAAAAATATTTTGGGTAAAAATATTTTAATGGATTCAAAATAATTTTATTTTCTTAATAATATTTCCTTTATGTATATTATAAATATCTTCTCCTCAGAAACTGATATTGCAAAACTGTATAAAACAAAATTAGGTATTCATTTCGATAGTCAAATTTATAATTAGCATTTTATTTATTAGATATATTAGACTTATAATGTAAAAAAGAAAGATAGATAACAGGAACGTTTAAATGCTCATAATATGCAATTTTTTTTAATCGATATTTAGAAAGTTTATTCTTTTAATCCGATTTTTTTAGTAGGTCCGTTAGTTCAAGTTATTTCCAAAGTTATATATTAAGTCCAAAGTTATCTGATGATTCAAAATTGATTAGAAAATGGGTTTTCTTTTTAAAATCGCCCATTTCTAATACAGGTCCGTATGTTTGCAGTTTCTTTACACATAATGACCAAATACTCTTGTTTCAAAGGTCGTCCAAACTTCAATGTCATACTTTACGGTTCTCGCGTCATTTCAATAGAATCACGATCAACATTAGTGCTGCATCTGGTACGTATGCGGTAATACTAATATCCCACGAAAGATGTTGCGTGCATTTTTTATTTTTTTGTAATAATTTATATGTAATAATTTCAGGGCGCTGTTAAGATATCTTAGAGGAATAAAAAGACTTAGTGATTATATAGTTTGTTAATATTCGTTTTTTAAATAAACTAACGATAGAAAACAATGTAAAAAATATACAGCAACCATGAAACAATGCTACCTACGCTTTTGCGTTCTAAGCTTTCATTTTTTATTTAAACTGTAAGGTACATCTGCGTCTATTCCTGTTCCCTATAGTGACTTATGTTCCTTATACGTACAATACATCAATCGATAGGAATGATTCAGAGGGAGGAGGAGAGGAAGTTAAAAAAACAGATAAAATTTTCGTGTCGCTGATTAACATTTGTGCGACTTAACGATTGGTTTTCTTTTTATTAAAGACGCGATTTTTAATAAGAGGATTGCACTGACAGACGCGTCGTGTAGTACACCGAATATTGCAGACGGTTTTCCTTGATATGACGAGTGAGGTTTTCTTTCTTAAAGCACATTGTATTTTGCAGTATATTGTTTCATTGCTATATGTGTGTCTGAACATTACATACCTGCGTTCATTTACGAGATTGCTTACTCACGTATGACGATGAGACAAATTTATACGTGTAAGTAATAACACACTGTTATGAAAGCAACACAAAATTTTTTATCTTCTTCAATTCGTGTCGTTGATTAACATTTGTGCGACTTAACGATTGGTTTTCAATTTATTATCTTCATCATACTCGACAGCAGGTTGAAGTTTGAACCTCTTTAGAGCAATTTTTAAAGGCGCATTTAATTATACGCAAAATACATAAATCTCCAAGAATATTTTACATGAAAGGGAGAAAAATGTAATTATTATCAAGTTACACAATAGTGAAATTGTCAATTAATATTTTAAGGAAAGTGTGCAATATCCTCACGTGATGTAATAAACAGAATTTACCGAAAAAGTGTGAGATACAGATTACGTTTGATAGCAAGGAAAGGTATTCCTCATGAAAGTTCATCTCTTTCCTCGTCATCAATAATATGTGCGAAGCGAAATTCGTTTGTCGCCGACAAACTCGTCGCGTCAAAAGGAAAGATCCCTGCAAGTCGTGACTTAGAATTGCAGATATTATTATCCCGTTCCGCGCGTATTTCCGATATCTAATTCTGAAAGAAGACGGAGAGAACCTTTCATTCTTCCCATAACACAATAAGAAGAATTTATTCTTCCCTCTGAAGTATTATGATTGACCGCATCTTCCGTGCGGAGGGAAACGCAGGGCGCGGAACACTGTCACTTCTCTAAGGACTGAATGCAAATGATACGCTGTCAAAATATATCCCTCCGTCAAACTGTATTGCTTAGCTAACAGAATGCAAATGATAACTTGCAAAATTGCGTCCATGTGTTACTCTGAACTGTCACACACGCGACTGTTACACGATAGAATTCGTGTGTGTAATATCGATACGTCTGTAACACTCGATTGT